TACACATAAGGGCCGCAAATGAGATCCCCTTTGGAAACTGGCGTACATACATATACACGTGGTAGAAAAGCAGTGCCCAATTCTTTTTTGCGCACAATAGCTCTGCATCCTCCCCTACTCGGACCCGTTCTTCACGTTTTTTTTTTCCACGTCCTTTTCTCTTAAATGTGCCATTGAATCGCCACCTCTTTCTCCCACATTTATGTATGGATGTGTAAGAGAAAAATATGTCCCCATGTGATGTATGGTGCAAGTGATGGTGCTTAATAGAGCCCCTCCAATCCACCCCGAATTCGCGATGCAACACGACGCCACGCACTTCTCAACCGACCCCGTAATAAACTTCTTTTGTCTTTGGCCACCCTCCCTATCACTTCTCGCTTTTTTTTTCTCTTCTCTTCTTTTTTTGCTCTTTCATTCCCTCGTCCTTGTCTTTCCGAAATACAGAATCCAGGCTTCACAGTCTGTCCCCTATTTCCCTAAAAGTCCCCTTTTTTTTAACTTTGGCCTCTAAACGTACTTTATTTTGAAAATTTCCCTTTTTTTTTATCTTTTAATGATAAATTCACACCAAATTTAAAAAAAGTGCCGTTGAAACTTTCAATTGGAAACTTTTGTTTTCAAAGTTTCAAATCTTGAAATTTATGATCGATGAAAATTTTCATGAAATTTATCAAATTTGTAAGATTAGTATTTTGGTGAAGTCAAGTTTCAATTATTTTTAAAAGTTGGTTGTTTTTTTTAATATTATTTATTATTACAAAAGTTTTAATGCAATTATCTTGATAAATAACAAAATTCTTCACATAAATTTAATTTTTAGGAATTTTAATAAAATTCTTTACAAAATTCAATTATTTTCAAAAGTAATAAAATTCTTCGAAGAAATTCAATTATTTTTTAAAAAATTTTCACCAATATCTCGTCAAGAATTCAATTATATTTACAAATAGCAAAATTTTTCGCCAAAAATTCAATTATTTTCAAAAATTTAAATAAAATTCTTTGCAAAATTTCAATTATTTTCAAAAATTTAAATAAAATTCTTTGCAAAATTTCAATTATTTTCAAAGGTTTTTCCCAATTTGACGTTTTTAAATATTTACTATTTTCATAAAATTTATCAACAGATTTAATTATAGTAAAACATTTTTGATACAATTCTACGAAAAGATTCAATTATTTTCATAAATAATAAAATTTCATTTACGAATTCATAATTATTTTCATCATTGAATTTCAAATATTTTTTAATACAATTTTAAATTTAAATTCCTTGAAAAATGCAATTATTATTAAAAATTTTATTAAAAATTTTATTAAAATTGAGGAAAGAATTCAATTTTAAGAAACATTCAATTATTCAATAAAACAATAAAATTCGTTGCAATAATTCAAATATTTTCATAAATAACATTTAATTCGTCGCAGATAATCAATTATTTTCAAAAATTTTTTAAGTAATTTTACAAAAGAATTCAATTAGCTTGATAAACAACAAAATCGCATAAATTCTTCCCATAAAATCAATTATTCTAAGAAATTTTATAATAAAATTGTTTTCCTAAATTCAATTATTTCGATAAATATCAATATTCATCATACAAGAATTCAATTCTTTTGAAAAGTAATAAAATACTTTGGAAAAATTAAATTATTTTCAAAATTAATAAAATTTTTTGAGAAAGTTCAATTATTTTCAAAATTAATCATAAATTCTTCGCGGAAATTCAATTATTTTTCAAGAATCAACAAAAAATTGTGAACATTTCAATTATCTTTATAAATGAATAGCAAAATTCATCGACAAAATTCAATTATTTTCAGGAATTTGAATAAAATTCATTTTAAAATTCAATTATTTTCATAAATAATAAAATTCTTTGACAATATTCAATTATTTTGAAAAAAGTAGTAAAATACTTTGCAGAAATTAAATTATTTTCAACATTTTTTTAAAAATTCTCGTCAAGAATTAAATTATCTTATTATAAATAGATAGGAAAATTTCTTCTCAAGAATTAAATTATTACTAGCCAAACTATCCGCGCGCAAGCGCGCGGGAATGTTGTATGGGGCTGCTTATTTTAAACAATTTAAAAAATTTTAAAGAAATAATTATTATAACCTAACAAAGAGATTTAACTAACTAAAATTCAAATAATTTCACTCAATGGTCTCAATTTAAATAGAATTTACATTACTAGACTTAAACTATGGCTAGAACAATTACAATTAGTATCTGGGTCATCTTTTGCATTGCTTATTTTATAAGGCCATTTTAAATTAAATTTTTTAAAGAAATAATAATTATTACACACTGAAAAAAGTTTTACTTGAAATAGCGATAAGTTTCTCTAGAATAACGAAAGTATTAATTGAAGCACTGAAAAATAATGAAGCTAAATCCTATAAAAGAGAAAAAAAAATGTTAAATTTTAAGAAAATCAAATTTTTGAATTTTTTCGAATTTTTGATAATTTTAGATTTTTTACCAAAGAGACGAGACAATTTAATAAGTAAAGTATTTTCCAAAAGCACAAAAATAATGAAGCTAAATCCCATAAAAGAAAAGAAAAAATGTTGAATTTTAAGAAAATCGGATTTTTGAATTTTTGATAATTTTCGATAATTTCACATTTTTTACCAAAGATTCGAGACAATTAAATAAGTAAAGTATTTTCCAAAAGCACAAAAATAATGAAGCGAAATCCCATAAAAGAGAGGAAAAAATGTTGAATTTTAAGACAATCGGATTTTTGAATTTTTTCGAATTTTTGATAATTTTAGATTTTGTACCAAAGAGTCGAGACAATTTAATAAGTAAAGTATTTTCCAAAAGGACAAAAATAATGAAGCTAAATCCTATAAAACAGAGCAAAAAATGTTGAATTTTAAAAAATTCGGATTTTTGAATTTTTGATAATTTTCGATAATTTTAGATTTTTTACCAAAGAGTGGAGAATATTAAATAAGTAAAGTATTTTCCAAAAGCACAAAAATAATGAAGCTAAATCCCATAAAAGAGAAGAAAAAATGTTGAATTTTAAGAAAATCGGATTTTTGAATTTTTTCGAATTTTTGAAAATTTTAGATTTTTTACCAAAGATTCGAGACTATTAAATAAGTAAAGTATTTTCCAAAAGCACAAAAATAATGAAGCTAAATTCTATAAAAGAGAGGAAAAAATGTTGAATTTTAAGAAATTCGGATTTTTGAATTTTTTCGAATTTTTGAAAATTTTAGATTTTTTACCAAAGATTCGAGACTATTAAATAAGTAAAGTATTTTCCAAAAGCACAAAAATAATGAAGCTAAATTCTATAAAAGAGAGGAAAAAATGTTGAATTTTAAGAAATTCGGATTTTTGAATTTTTGATAATTTTCGATAATTTCACATTTTTTACCAAAGAGTCGAGAGAATTTAATAAGTAAAGTATTTTCCACATTAAAAAGTTTGACATTAAAAAATATATAAAAAATGCCAATACTTAACCCACAAAATTAAATTTTCAAAACAAACAAATGAATGCAGATAATTTGCTAACGGAAAGGAAACTTACGATTATTATAATGTATCCCAGTAAAAAAAAACTAATTCAAATGAATTGAAATGAATTAACATTTTTGGTAGGCTCCAATTCGTATTTGTCACAAAGCGGGATTCACTCAAGCTCTTTGTATATTCAATTGAATTTAATTCAATATGTACCAATCTGTCCAAACGAATTCGCATTCGAAAGAAATGGCCAAGGAATGCATTGAATTCGTGCTAACGAATTGAAAAAAAATTAAAGGCTCAAAATTTGTCCAGTGAATTGGTACGGATAGAAGGTTCGGAAGTTCAATACAGTTTCACGAATTCAGGAAAATTGCATCATGGCTCCAATTCGTATTTGTCACAAAGCGGGATTCACGAAAGCTCTTTGTGAATTCTTTTTAATTCATTTCAATTAGTTTTCGTTTACTGGGATGTATATGTATATGTATATTTCTATTTTCTATCAAAACGTATAAAAAACAAAAGAATAACTATAACTAACTTCAAGTGTGGACAGAGATCCGGAAATCTGGAATCACGACGATTATTATATATAATTGTCAAAAATTTTTGAAAAATTCTTCTCAAGAAGTCAATTATTTTCAAAAATTTTAATAAAATTCTTCTCATGAATTCAATTGCTTTCAAAAATTATTATTTAAATTCTTCTCAGGAATTCAATTATTTTTAAAAAAAATTGAATAAAATTCTTTAAAAAGTTTTCAATTATTTTCAAAAATTGTTATAAAATTCTTTAAAAAGTTTTCAATTATTTTCAAAAATTGTTATAAAATTCTTTAATATAATAAATTTCATTAAACTTTTAATTAAATTCCATAAAAGAAATTAAATATTTTCAAAAGTTAATACAATTCTTGGTAAAAATTAAATTTTCAGAAGCATTCAATATTATTTATTTTTGTATTTAAATAATTGATTTCTCGTAGAATTAAATTTTTATTTTTTGTAATTTTAACTAACAATTCTGTAGAATTAATTTTTTTTGTAAAAGTTTAATTGAATAATAATTGATATTATTGATTTAATGTAGAATTTTAGTTAAAAATTCTAGAAAATGTTAATTGAATTGAAATGATACAAATAATTTTGAAGAAATTACAGTAACAATATTCTTGTAATAATAAAATAATGATTTTGTCAGTCGGTCATCTTTAATTATTATAAAACATAAAGAAATTAATGATTAATTTCTTTATGTTTTATAATAATATTCTTAAGAGTTGTTCAATTTGAAGAGGTTTAAATTTGTTTTGAGAGTAAGGGAGAAAAAACATTTAATTTGAATTTTCTGACTCTCTTACTCTTGTGTTACCATGGCGACCCGCAGGCAGGCTGGCAGTAGAGCTGTGCGAGCGCCTTAAGGCCTTAAGGTCATGCTCTGCAATCTGCAAATTGCAAAATTGCGGAGTATAAATGTAGCTTAATGTTATGAATTGTTTTCATTGTTTTTCAACGTGTTTCTGACAGAAGCGTTTTTTTTACAGTAAAAAATATTATTATAAAATAATAGTTTGTTAAAAGTTTATTAAACATTATTAAAAGAAGGAAATTTTAATAGACGAAATTCTTTTTCGAAATGATTTTGTTTATAGAAAACTAATATCGTTATCCTCGGATTCTCTAATAATAAACAAAACTTAACCTAAAAAGATGTCTTGTGGAAACTGGAAAATTAAAAACATTAAACAGAAATGTTTAAATAAAGATAATAGTAGCTCTTTATTTGACATTAAAGATATAAAAATGAAAAAGGAATCTGAAACTGTTGGATCTAGATCATCTATTATAAAGAATAATGCAGAAAATCCTGTAAGTAGAATATAACATTTGTATTTAAAAACAATTACACTAATTTATTATTATTATTAATATTACTGCTAACAAAACAATATTTTATAGGATCAAAAGTCAAAAATGTTTAAAAATAGAAAAAGGAACGAAAAGAGTGATGGTAAAAATAGTAAAAATAAAAGGAGATATTTATGTGATGATGATGATGATGATGATGACCATTGTCATGTTGATCAAGAAGTGGTAAAATAAATTTAATAATTTTCCACTAAAAAAAGAAGTTCTAAGTTCCTATTTTTTTCTATTTACAATTTTTGTTAATTAATCTCTGTATTTTAGGTCTCAAAGTCAGAAACATTGGTTATGAAAAAGAAGGAAAGAAAAGATTTGGACAATGACAATGAAGAATTGGATCAAAGAATAAGAACAAATAATCGTAAAAGAAAAAAAGATACCGATGATATTGATGATTATCGTAGTAGTCAAGATTCAATGGTAAATATTTTAGAGAAAGAAACCTACAACAAACAAAATAAGAATTAAAGTTAAATTTTCAATGTTTAGATTGAAAATTTAAATTTAATTTTCATGCAATTTAAATTAATTACAAACTAATGTTGCAGGACTCAAAGTCAGAGGAAATGAGCGAAAATCAACAGCAGCAGAAAAAGAAGATGAAAATGGACAAAGAAGAAAATGTCGAGAAAAAGAAGAGGGAACAAATTTTATCTGATGAGACTGATGAAGATGACGATTTGTTAAAATTGGAACTGAGCGAAAAACAGCAGCAGAAGAAGAATAAGGAAATAAATGTTGAGAAAAAGAAGAAGAGGGTACAAATTTTATCTAATAAAAGTGATGAAGAAGAAGAAGATAATGATGATGATGATGAGGATTTGGTAAAATTCGAAGTGAGCGAAAAACAACAGAAGAAGAACAAAGAGGAAAATGTTGAGAAAAAGAGGGTACAAATTTTATCTGATAAAAGTGATGAAGAAGAAGAAGAAGAAGATAATGATGATGATGAGGATTTGGTAAAATTCGAAGTGAGCGAAAAACAACAGAAGAACAAAGAGGAAAATGTTGAGAAAAGGAAGAAGAGGGTACAAATTTTATCTGATGAAAGTGATGAAGATGATGATGATGATATGAAAAAATTGGAACTGAGCGAAAAACAACAGCCGACGAACGAGGAAGAAATTGTTCAGGAAAGGAAGAAAAGGGTACAAATCTCATCTGACGAAACTGATGAAGAAAAATTGAAAGATGACATAAAAGAAGGAAATCAAGATAAACTTAAAAATAAAAAGAAAGCATTAGTTGTTAATGGCGAAAATCCACAGAAGAAAATCAAGAAAAAGAATTGCAATACAAGGAGAAAAGTACCAGAGAAATTTGATAAAGAAAATAATAATTTTGAAAAATTGGCTGGAGAAATTGAAGAACAAAATCTTGACAGAAATAGATCAAATAATAGTAATTCCAACGCGGTAACTATTTTTAAACTTTTCTTCTCATTTTCAACATCAAAATAATTTTTAATATTTTTTACTTGTTTATTTATTATTTCATTATTTATTTGTATTTATATTATCTAAGAATATTATTTAAGCGCTTGGTTACTTATAATGAAAACGTACATTTACTTATTTGTTTATAATTAATATATTTATTTATTTCTTGATTAATTATTAATCAAAAAATATTATAATTATTTTTAATATTATAATGGTTCATCTATTATTAATAATTTAATTTTAAATTAAATCTTTAAAAATAATAATTACTATTTAAATTTCAGGAATTTGACGAAGAAATAATATTGGAAGCAAAAGAGAAAAATGAAAGGTTTGATGAAATTCTTGACGAACAAAAAAAGAAGAATTCAACTCCCGAGATGGATATAGACGTAATTTTCTTTTATTGCCCACTAAATAGCTTAATAAAATTTAATAATTTATAATTATACGAATAAATCAAAGATTAATTTGTCTATTAATTATAGAAAAATTTCTTTTTAAATATAAATCAGGTGTTGCGGACTTTAATAGTTAAATTAATTCACGAAGTACCAGAACAACACTTACTTGAATCATCTGCCGGCTCTCATGCACCTAGTCCAGAAACAATTCGACGTTTTCGAAAATTTGTCGAGTTAAAAAAAGGCACTTACACCCCAGGAGAGGATCGAATTATTAAAAAAAACTGGAAACAGTTCTGCAAAGTAAGTTCGAAATTTGAATAAAAATTGAATTATTTCACCAAAAAAATTTAAAAATTTAATTAATTAATTTAATTAATTTAATTTAGAACGTTTTCGAATTCTTTTAGCTCCACGATTGGGATCCTCAAAATTACGAACCACTTTTAAATTGGCGGCAAGATTCTAAATTAATAGTGAGAAACGTAAACGAGAGGAAAAGATTTGTACAATTTTTAGCGAATGGCCTACCAAACAGAACATTATACAGCGTTTATCATCGATTTAAAAATATACACGCTGATCATTTACAAACCAGGTGAGAAAAAATGACTTATTTCTAAGTTTTTAAATTCAAAAGTGAAATTTTCAATTTGTTTTTAATAAAAAATTTCTTTTGGGGGAAATTTTAATTTGTAACGAAAACATTTTCTTTTTTTAAGAGAGAGTTAATTTAATTAATTTCAATTTTTTTAATTATTTTAATCTTTAAGGTATACGTATGACGAAGACGAAGCGATAATCAAATACATTGAAGAAAATTCAAATTCAAATAATCAAACGCACGTGTTTGCCGATTTAGCGAAAATATTAAAAAGAACGAGAGCTTCAGTTTGGCGGAGATATCGATTATTAAAAAAGAAAAGATTTGATGAATAACACTTTTTATATCTCGAAGTATTTTTATCCACTTATTTCTTAATTGAAAGATTTTTAATTGCCAATGAATTTTATATAAGAGAATAATAAAGAAAATATATTTATTATTTTCAAAGTATTTTTTCCCCAAATTGTTCTTTTTTCTATTTCTTAAATAGAAAAAATATTTTTTATAGAAATGTAAATTTTTGAAACTTAAATTTAAGAATATTAAAACTATTAATTATGAATTATAAATTATTTAATTAATTCTTAATTCTTAATTATTATGTATTAATTAAAAATAGAAATTAAAAATTAGAATAAATTAAAAAGCTAAAGGATCATTTATTGATTGAAACAAAAACTAATATTTAAGCGTGTTTAATAAAAATGCATTATAATTACAATAATCTATTGTATCAAAGTGTAATTAAACTGAGACTTTTTTTGCTTAATGAAATCACATTCATTCTCTCATATCCACAACTCTTTTAAAAGTACTCAGTGCATTCTTTTTAATCAGAATCGTAGAATGTAAGAAACAATTCTATAGACTTTGTCTCAAATTGAAAACAATTTCTGTACATTTCAAAATTTTCTTTTTCTTTTTTTTTTATGGCGTTGGAAGAATGAATATTTCTGGCAATTATTCTTTAATAAGGATACGCTTGAAATAGAGTATAAAAACAAATGATGAGTTTAATTAAGTAACACCCGATAGTTTGGAACACAATCCTGCTCTAATGGCACTAAAGCTCGTCGACGAAAAAAAAAATGAATAAAAACTTGTAAAGGGAAGAAAGCTATAAGCATGATTTACAAACTTAATTATTGAAGGGAGGAGGGGAGAAAATAATATTTCAGCTGCGTATTAATATTTACAGGTGTCCAATTGATCACTTATTGAACTATCAAAATTGTACTATGTATAATATTTCTTATTTTTGTAATTTCGCTGTGTGATTATCTTCGATTAAACCAGTTTTTTTTTATTTTTCTGGATTTGTGAATTAGCTCAATTGTATAGGACGGGATAAAAAAATATTTCATTATTATTATTATTGTAATTGAAAAATCGATTCAAGATTATGTCAATTATTTTTATCTGAAAACTAATATTCTACAAGAGAAAGATTTAATAATCTCGTGTAGTAATTTATTTTCATGCTCCGAGAAAATTGTAAATTATTAAAATTTAATTAAAAAAATATAATTAAGATTTAATTATAAACAGGGTTGCCAGAAAATTTAATTATTCAAAGAAAAAAAAACTTCAACCAAATTTTTTTTTTAAATTCACATTTTCACAATTTAATTTTACGAAATTTCAATTATTCGAAAAATTGTTAATTAAATTTACACTTAGAACTTTAATTTACTCCAAAAGAATTGGATAAAAAAAATTTCAAGAAACTAAAATCTTCAGAATTTTTAATTAAAATTAATTAAAAATTTAAATTTACAAAAATTTTAATTTGGAAATCTTTTTTGAATTATTTTTTGATATTTCAACTAATAACTCTTCTAAGAACAAAAATTCTTCTCAAAAATTCAATTATTTTAAAAATTTGTAATGGAATTCTTTACAAGAATTCAATTATTTTTATGAAGAAAAAAAATGTTCTCAAGGAATTCAATTATTTAAAAAATTTAATACAATTCTGTGCAGAAATTCAATTATTTTCAAATTTTATTATAAATTCTCCGTAAGAATTTAATCGTTTTCATAAATAATAAACTTTTTCGCAAGGAATTCAATTATTTTCATAAATAATAACATTTTTCTAATAAATTCAATTATTTTTTAAATTATACCTATTAAATTCTTTTTTAAGTTTTTAAAGAATTCTCTGCAGATTCAATTATTTTCAATAATTTTGATAAAATTCTTTATAAGAATTTAATTATTATAATCACATTTTTTAATTAAATTTCTCCAAATAATTTAATTATTTGAAAACTTTTTAATAAAATTCTTCATAAGAATCCAAATATTTCGAAGTGTTTTGTATGCATTTCTTTGCAAGAATTTAATAATTTTCAAATTTTTGTATATAAATTTCTACCCAAGAATTTAATTATTTTCATAAATAATAAATTTCCTTGCAAATAATTCAATTATTTACTTAAATAATAAAATTTTTTGAATACATACATTCAATTATTTTTAAAAAATTTAATAACATTTGTCGAAATAATTCAATTTTTAAAAATTTTTATAATATTCTGCGCAGAAATTAAATTCAATTCAATAATTTTGATGAAATTCTTTATAAAAATTAAATTATTTTCATAAATAATATTTAAAAAAAATAAATAAATAAAATCTTAAATTTTAATTAAAATTAGTCAAGATTCTAATTTTTAAAATTTCAATTTAGAAACCTATTGAAATTTAATTATTTATAAAAATCGTAAACGTAATTTTTCTATAGTTCAATTATTTTTTGAACTTTTTAAATAAAATTATTCGCTAAATCATTTGTAAGTAATAATATTTTTATAGTTCTTCAAGAATTAAATTTTTCAAAATAAATTCAATTTCCCATTCAGTAAAATTCAATTCTTGTCAAAAAATTGAATAAATTCAAATTTTCTAATTAAAATTCGTAATGAGTTCAAATTTTATAAGTCAAACCAGAAGAAATTCAAAAAGAATCAAAAATATTTTTAGAATTTTCAAATTCTAGAAAATGGCTAGAAACTGAAATCCAGAATTTTCTTTTAAAAATTTCTCGATTTCCCCGAGACTGTGGCAACCCTGATTAAAAAAAAATAAAACAAAATTTTTTTATTTACATAAAGCAAATTTATTTTTCTAAAGTTTTGAACGTTCAAATGAACGAAATACTAATTTCTGCTCCAGTATTTTCCAAAATTACTGGACCAAACAGAAAAATATTGTAACTGCACCATTTTAAATTATAAAAAATATTTTTTCCTAATAAAATTTAAAGTAAACAAAGTAATAAAAATATCGTCGTTCATATTATGAATATTCAAAACTTTACAAACATGTAAATTTTGGAAAATTCTCCAAAGAAAAAAATGAATAAAAATTTTCCTAGTTTAATAACTACATATTGAATTATTTTTTGCCCTAGGTGCTTACTAATCTGATTTAAAAAAAATGTTTCTGAATATAGTAAAAATAAATTTCGATTTCTTATGTACAGAATTTCGATAATTTAAAAAAAAAACTTTCTAAAATCGATTTGAATTTTTTGTAAACTAATAATCAACTGACTGGATGAAAAGAAAAGATAAATTTACAATTTTGGAATGAAAAATAAATCACTACGACTTATTTTTTGCAAGAATATTTTTTCCAAGTCGAGATTCCTTCCAATTTTTTTTTTTTTTGACTTTTCTTTGAAAAAAAAGAAAAAATGATTGTGCATTCCCTTTTAAAACATTTGCCCTATCACAGCTAGTGAGCGTACGGCCGATTGCACATTATTTACATGAATGTGATGAGCAACAGTGTGATGTTCCTCGACCACCATTGTCTCGCCGTATTGTGCTCGGCAACGTTTTTGATGGGCAAATAAACTGCCACTGTGACTGTAAGCGGCGCCGCATGTTTTACAAACGTATGGCTTCTCACCGGAATGCGTGTAAGTGTGCTCCTTGAGGGTGCTGAGTCGTTTGAATGCTTTGCCACAAGTTTTACAGAGATAATTCGCCTCGCCAGTGTGACGCGTTAAATGTCGTCTAAATGCCGAACTGACGGCAAAAGCTGCACTGCACACGTGACAGACAAATGGCTTGTCACCGGTGTGAATTCGTATGTGATTCGCGAGACTTGTTGTCGTTGTAAATCCACTGTTACAAGTTTTACAGACGTGGGGCTTGACACCACTGTGAGTTCGCATATGATATGTTAATGATGAATTACTTGGATAAACTTTACTGCAAATGTGACAGAGATATTCTCGAGGTACTTTTTCCTTCGGTTTGTTGTGGGTTTTTTGATGGATCAGCAGTCGTGCTTGGCTCGCACAAACCTGAGGGAGGAAAAAAGAAATTTGTTAATATCGACTATAATAAAATTGTCTAAAATAATTCAATTATTTTTAAATATTTTAGTCAAATTTTTCGAAATAATTCAGTTATTTTCAAAAATTTTAATATAATTTTTCAAGAAAAAATAAATTTTTTGCAAAATAGAAAAAATTCTTTGCAATAATTTAATTCTTTTCGTAAATAATGACATTTTTTATAATAATTCAATTATTTTTATAAATAATAGAATTCAGCGTAGAAATTCAATTATTTTTAAATATTTTAGTAAAATTCTTCATAAAAAAAATCAATTTTTTGTAAAAATTAAAAAATTCTTCACGAGAATTTAATTCTTTTCATAAATAATAAAATTATCTATAATAATTCAATAATTTTTATAAATAATAGAATTCTGCACTGAAATTCAATTATTTTTAAATATTTTTGTAAAATTCTTCAAATGAATTCAATTATTTTAAAAAACTTTAATATAATTCTTCATAGAAAATCAATTTTTTGCAAAAAAAAAAATTAAAAAGAAATAAAAATTCTACTCAAGCATTCAATTCAAAAAAAAAAAAAAAAAAATAAAATAAAAAAATTCTACTCAAGAATTCAATTCTTTTCGTAAATAATGAAATTTTTTATAATAATTTAAATTATTTTTATGAATAATAGAATTCGGCTCTGAAATTCAATTATTTTTAAATATTTTAGTCAAATTCTTCGAAATAATTTAGTTATTTTCAAAAATTTTAATATAATTCTTCAAGAAAAAATCAATTTTTTGCAAAATAGAAAAAATTCTTTGCAATAATTTAATTTAAACTTTTTCAAAAAAATTAATTCTGCAGAACTTTTAGTTAAAAGTGTGAAAAATTCAGATTTTCAAAGAATTTAACTTGAAATTAAACTTGGATTATCTAAAATTCTAACTGAAATCCATTTTTTAATCAATATTTATTAAAAAATTCTACGAAAATTCAACTATTGATTTTTTTTCTTTCTTTATTTTACAATCAATTAAATAAAAAAAAAAATAATTTTTTGAATAATTGAATGTTTCTCAAAATTGAATTCTCATAAAGAATGTTATCAATAAATTTCTAAATCATTAAATTCTTTCGGCGAATTTTAATAGAATTTTTAAAAATAATTACATTTTTAGAGGAATTCGATTAAAATTGAAATTCTGCGATGAGTTTTATTATTTATGAAAATAATTGAATTCTTAAAAAGAATTTTATTATTTACGAAAATAATTGAATCTCTGTAAAAAATTTTATAGTCTGTGAAAAATAATGGAATTATTACGAAAAAATTTATAACAAATTTGTAAATAATTGAATTCTTGAGAATTTTATCACAAAATTTGTGAATTTTTTTTGGAAAATTTTATTAAAATAGTAGATATTAAAAATCATTGAATTGAGGAAATTTTTTGAAAATAATTGCAATTTAGCCAAAAATTTTTATTAAATTTTTTTAAATAATTGAATTTAGGAGAAGAATTTTATTATTTATAAAGATAATTGAAATTAAGAAATTTTGTAAATTTTTGAACATAATTGTTCATAGTTTATGAGGTTTGCCTCATAAACCAAAATTCAGAATTTTCTTATGAATTCTAAAAATTAAATTTTTTCCAGTACTTTTAATAAAAATCCCTGAATTTTCCCTGACTTCCCTGAATAAAAATAAAAAATACTTCCATGAGGAAATAATTGATACCTTTTTGCAAATTTCACAAGTAACTGGTTCCGCTTTCGGTTTATGCATCGAAACATGTCGTCGTAAACCCTTCTTCGTGGCCAGAATCTTATCGCAATGTTGACATTTGTACTCTCCAGTTCCATCCTCATCGCTCTCGTCCTTTTTCGCCGTGTCATTGTCACCGAAAATATTCCCCCCTGTATTCGGAAATGGCTCGTCGTCCGAATCAAAGAGTTTATTGTCCTCTATCAAATTGTCCAATAAACCATGACCATGTTTCTCAGCATGCTTCTTTAACGTATCGGGTCTGAAAAACCATTTTTTACACACATAACAAGAATATTTTTTCTCCCCATGTATGAGTGTGTGACGTTTTAAATTCTTCTTTGTCGAACAATATTGACCGCATATTTCACATTTAAATAATTCCGGAGTATTTTGAAAGTCGTCCGTATCATTATTTCCCGTCAATTGATCATCATCATTATCATCTTCGATTTTCATTTCTTTTTTTGGCTCATTCAATTCCTGTGGATCGTCACTTATTTGCTTTATAATATCATTCACTTTTTCCGTGTGCGATTTTAAATGTTTCACTAGACTTTGAGGTTTCGAGAATGACGTGTGACACAATTGGCATGCATGGGGTTTTGTCGCGTGAATTAATTTGTGCTTCTCGAGATTTTCTAATTTGCAAAATGTTTTTAGGCAAATGTCACAATTGTGTTTTTTGTCATGCACTAGGGAATGTTTCTTGAGGCCCTTTTGCGTTGAATAACGTTTTGAACATATTTTACATTTGAATTTTGGTTCCAAGGAATCTTGACTGTCACTACTTTGATCGTAATAATCGTCATCAATTTCCTCATCGCTAAAGGCAGTTTTATTATGAATTGATTTCACTTTACGGTTTGATGTACGTTTCGAGGGTGTTGTCTCTTGGTCCTCTTCTAAACTTTCGACCAACATTTGTTCGTCGAGATAATGGTCCATTCTATTGTCAGTCTTGTTTGTTGAATCAATTTTATCATCTGTGGGAACAATTAATCCTTCAGAGCATGCAATCTGGAGGGGATTCTCTGTGACGACGTCGACACTTATGACATTTGGATGAATGCTGTTTGGATGTATCTCACTTTCAGTTATGGGATCGATAACGTTTGCATTAATTACAGTTGCATTTATAACAGTTTCATTAATGGCAACCGCTAAATCTTCAGTCATTCTATCAGTCTCTTTATTGGGTTCCTCAAATCGAAGATTGCAATCAAACATTTTTTCACCGTGAATACTTATGGGATTTTGATTCAAAGAGACCTGCTCGTGTGTAAAAGTTTCTGTTGATTGTTGTATTTCAGACATAATGTGAAGTTCCTCTTCCTTAACGTTGTAATTATTTTCCTGATTTGTTGCCTTTTTTGATATCACAATTCGAGTTTGGGGATCTGTCTGCGTACTGCTCTCCTGAAACAGAAAACAAAAAAACAAAAAAATTAAAATAAATGAGAAATTATTAATCACGAAATAAAATACATTTAGAAATGTAATTAACTTTTTAAAAATAAGTAGCAAATGTTACGCACAAAACGTGTTATTCTATTTATTATTATTATGAAAATTACAAAATTTTTCATTTTCAAATATCAACTTTCATTTTTGAATAATTTTCAATAAGGAATTTAAAAAAATCAGTTATTAACCAATTAATTATTATTATTTATTTTTAAAAAATTTTTATAACATTTTTCACAAAAATTCAATTATTTTAAAAAATAATAAAATTTTTTATAAAAATTCAATTATTTTCATAAATAATATAATTATTCGCAAGAATTCAATTTTTTTCATAAATAACAAAATTCTTCACAAGAATTCAATTATTTTCAAAATTTTGTTTATAAAATTCTACTCAAGAATTTCGCTTTTTTCATAAATAATAAAATTCTTCGCAGGAATTCAATTATTTTGAATAATTTTAATACAATTTCTCGAAATAATTATGAATTATTTTCATATAAATACTACAATTCTTTAATGTAATTCAATACTTTTCATAAACAATACAACTTTTCGCAGGAATTTAATTATTTTCAGAAACACTAAAATTCTTGGTAGAAAGTTAATTATTTTTTAAATTTTTAAGTGAAATTCTTTGAAATAATTCAATTGTTATAATAAATAATAAAATTCTTTATAATAATTTAAATATTTTTATAAATAATAACATTCTTTGTAATAATTCAAATATTTTTAAAAATAGTAAAATTACTTAGGAATTTAATTATTTTCATAAATAATAAAATTCTTCGCAGAAATTCAATTATTTTTTAGAAATTTGTTATAAAATTCTTCGAAATAATTGAAAAATAATTTATAAATAATAAAATTGTTTAAAATAATTCAATTGTTTTCATAAATACTCTTGAAAAAGAATTCTTTAAAATAATTCGATACTTTTCATAAACATTAAAATTCTTTGCAAAAATTTAGTTTATTTTCAAAATTATTCATTAAATTCTTAACAAAAATTCAATTATGTTTATAAATAATAAAATTCTTTTCGGGAATTCAATTATTTTCAGAATTTAATTATTTCAGATTCAAAATTGTAAAGGTTATAAAATTTTAAATATTATTTTTTATCACAAGTTTTTTCTTTAAAGTTAAAAAAAATGTATTTGCAAAACTAATTTTATAAAAATAATAACTAATGAAATAAAAATAATTAAAATAATAAAATAATTTCTATATTTTTCTTGGAATGTTTGGTATTTTAAAATTAATGAAATCATACTTTATTGTTAACAAAAAAAAATCATTTCTCAGCGCGAATTATGAAAAACAAAGCATTTCAGAGAAAAGAAAAATGATGAAAAAAATGAGGAAATGAAAGCAAAAAAATAAAAAAAAAACAACTAACTTTAAATTACGAATAAATTTTACGTACCATCACATTACTTTTAGAAGGTTTATTGTAATAAAGTCGCAAACGAGCATCGGAATGTTGGCAAAGTTGCCGAAATTCATGGGCAATGCTCGATTTAAAGATGCAATCGTTACAAATTAAAGAAGGCAGACCGTCCTGTTCTTGAATTTCAATTGAGCCACAAATTTGTATTTTTTGCGAAATTTCCGAAAATTGGACCACTTCCTGATTTGAACAAAATATTGGTGATAAATTTGTACTTTCCGTAAGACAAATTCTGCAAACTCTATCCATATTCATTGGTAAACCAAAATATGCTGGATTCATTGCCATTCTTATCAACAGAAGAATTTATTTCCAAAGACAAACTATAATTTTTCAAAAATATCATTGTTAATAAACACTGTTAAAACCCTATTGTTAAAAATTAAAAACTGTTAAAACATAAAACAAAACGAAACAAACGAATTCGAAAAACAACAGAAATAATTAGGAATTTGCTAATTTTCAAGTTCTGTCTAATTTTAATTCTACTAAAATATAAAAACACCTACTGAAGAATAAAGAAAACTTTTATATTTTTCATTAAAAAAAACTGTCAATTATTTAGAATTTAAAAATTCAAAATCATTATTAAAAATATGTAATAATTAAAAACAAACAAGTGCTATATACACACGAAACAAACTCCAATTGTTGAAAAATACATTATTGAGGAAAAAAAAGAAAATTTCCAAAGTAAGGAAAATTTTTACAGCTCTATTTAAAAAGGAAAGTTTCCCTTTAAAAAAGGTGTTTTAAACAGGTGCTAAATATTTGGTAAAGGATTTAAAAAATTAGTAATAAAACTAATAAACGGTTCTCAACCATTGTAACCTTTTTGTGCGTCGTGGAGTATGAGTTGATGTCAGCAGTGATGAGACAAACTGCTTCAACTTTCGATCAACATTAAATTTTTACATTTTTAAATGCTTTCTTAACATTCTTAACTTGTTGAAAAGTTATCACTATTGTAAATATTCATTTCACTGGAGGTAATTAAAGAAAATCTTTTCACTCCCTTTGTTCTGGGTTTCGTCAAAAAATCGACCGCTTCAAGTTGAGAACGTTGTTCATAGACACATTTATGGTTATGTGTATTGTAAAAATGTCAGACATTATTTTATTTACGACTTGTCCACTCTGTCCACCAATCAAAATGTTTCTTTTTTGAAAACCACTTCTGATTGGATAACATGCGCTTATTGCTCTTTAATTTTCAAATGTTGACAACTTGTGAACTTGACTTTGTTTTTGTGTCATTTTGTACACTTGTTTTTTTAATTATTTATTATCATTTTAAATAAATAAATAACGTAATAAGACTACTTGTGATGGGAAATATAAAAGAAGACTGAATATTCAACTGTTAATTCTAGACTGTAATTAGTTACATGAAGATTTTAATGAATTTAAATTTTGAGGTTGTGTTTCAATACTAGGAAAGAGTGAACAATTTTTTTATTGTTAATAAATTATCTTTATTGGTGTGGTTGGTGTAGTATCTCAAGTATATATTTGATAGTATAAATTTTATTTCTATCTACGATTGAAATTATACATATTCATTATTCAACTTATTGGATCATGACAGAAACACGTGTCTTTGACGTTTGAGGTGAATGTCCTACCGCACGAAGAAAAATTAACATAAATTTCAAATTTAAAACTCAATTGTTAATTTTTTCGAAAATTAAATTTGTTTTTTTAATAGGGTAATTTTATTTTATATAAATATATTTTTTCCAATGTATCTAATTATAAGTATTGATATTGTATCTTTTGTTCTTTATTTCTATATTTTAACAGTTTTAATAACAAATTATTTTGTCATTTATTTTCAGATTTTCGTTTTAAATATTTCTGACAATTGGAAAGTAAACAAATGGAGGGTGAACATTGTCAATATTTTGTTGAAAGGAAGAAGCGTTATTGTCGAATGACAGTGAAAAAGAATAATCGATTTTGCGGTGAACATCAACCGAATCAAAGTGAAAATTTATCTAAAAAACGAAGGATTGTGTGTCCTTTAGATTTCACGCAGTTAGTATTTTTTTTGAATTATTAAATTACTAGCAAAACTAAGTACCTACATACACTTATTGAAATTTAATAAATATTTATTACTTTTTAAAAAATATAATTTTAAATACAAAAATAAATAATAGATTATTTCTAAAAATTAAAACTGTAACTCTTATTGAGTTTTTTTTAATTTAAGGAAGAAAATTCGTAGACCATTTAAGATTTTGAATAATTTGATATTCTTCTAATGGTTTGGATCATTTTTTTTCAGCACATGCTATGAAAATAAATTGTCAAAGCACTTAAAGGTTTGCAACGCAAAAATAAAAGACGAGCCTGCTTATATTGTGAAGGGAATTAATTTGGGAGATGTGGATCTAATACAACCGACACATATTCGACTTTCGTTAATTGACCCATCGACAGTAAATTCTGTGATTGATAAAATTAATTCCGCTTATGGTATGAAAATAGTTTTACTAGTAAACTATTCTTTATTCAAATGTATTCAAATTAATTCTCATGTTTTTGTGATATGAAACTATTTTCTTTTTTTTTTTTTGCAGATCATTTACCGGAAATTTCGGAATTAATTTTAAGTCATGAAGTACTCACTGAAGAATTAAATAATCCCACTTATGGACATGCAGCAAGGAGACATTTATTACAAAATTCTTCACTGCTAGGACACTTGGAGAATTCTCAATTAATTCAAGATAACACCTGTTTCATTGAATTTGGCGCGGGAAGAGGTATGGAAACTAAACATAAATGCAGAAGAGAAAGTTATTAACAAAAAAATTAAGTATATGAATAAATTAATATTAATATTACTATTCATATTAATATTACTATTTATTTTAATATTACTATTCATATTAATATTAATATTAATATTCTTATACATAAATTAGTATTTATAAATATTTACTTTTTGTTGAAACAGTTTTTTGTAATTATTTTGCAACTATTTTGTAACAAAAAATCTTAAAAGGTCTAAATGCCCCTAAAAAGGCGTATTTAGGTCTTTTTATCAAAATATTCATAAATTAATAATAAAATTAAATTTTGTATTAGAAATCGAAAATCGAAATCGAAAATTAAATAAAATATTCAAATTCAGGAAAACTGACTTACTGGTTGGCGCAGGCGATTAAAGGACAAAGTGGATCTTCTATTTTGCTCGTCGATCGTTCGAGTCACAGACACAAGAAGGACAATAAACTGAAAAATGAAGATAATTCCTTAAACGTAAAGCGGATACGTGCGGACATTGCTGATTTGAAATTAAACAAAGTCGAAGAAATAGGAGAATCGAACTCAATAGTTGGAATTGCAAAACATCTCTGTGGTTGTGCAACAGGTAATTTAACTTTTCCTAAAATCCAAATTATTTATTCATTTATTTATTTTTTTTATTTTCCTATCTCTTAAAATTGATATTTTATTTTCTATTTTCATTCACCTAATATTGTTGTTTATTCATTTTAATTCTCTTAATTTTGATGTTTAATTATTTTTATTCTCTTAAACTTGATAAAAATGTTTATTATTTTCTTTTTTCCAGATTTGACTTTAAGATGTTTAGCGAAACACGATGAACCATCTTGTAAAGTTAATGGACTCATCATCGCCTTTTGCTGTCATCATCGCTGCGAATATTCATCCTACGTTGGCAAAGAATATTTACAAACTTGTAATTTTTCTGCCGACGAATTTCCAATTCTTTGCAGTATCGCAAGTTGGGCGACTTGTGGTTTTGAGAAGAATGCCAAACCGAAAAGTCACGACGTCACTTGTGAGCAAAAGGAAAAATTGGAGTAAGTGTTAATATGAGAATTATTTTAAAAACGGAAAAATTAGAGTCAGAATTTAGTGTTATAAGAAAAAAAGAATATGAATATAATTTATCTTGTAAAATTTGAAGTAAATTGTAAAAATTCCACTTTTCTTTTTTCAAGGAACGATCTAAAGATTTTCAAGGAGCGAGAAGAAATGGGAAGAAAGGTGAAAATGCTACTAAACTGGGGTCGATTGGAATTTCTAAAAAACGCCGGTTTCGATTGTCGGATAGTTTATTACACATCAATGGACGCTTCTTTAGAAAATGTCTGCATTATCGCAAAATTAGACAATTAGTTTCTTTTTGCAAACAAATGTTTATAAGGTAAAAAGTTTATATTAAAATAATATAATTAAGAAACATTTATATTAAAATAATATAATTAAGAAACATTTATATTAAAATATTGAAATAAACATTTATATTAAAATAATTAAACATTTAGAAATTAATTCTAAAAAAATTTTCTACTTTTGAATTTTTTTAACAAAATTTTTCTTTTTTTCATTTTTCTTTCAAGTTATCTGCTTTTTTCCAGTTTTCTTAAGTGAGCGTTTTCAATGCGCGTGACTTCTCGTGAATAACGTGAATGAAGTCACCTTTTTGAAAGCATGACGTTCCATCCCCACTACACAGTTTATATCCACCGCCCCGCCCAATACAAGTTGTGGAATGTAGTGGTCTCCCAAACAATTTATAAAATTAATTAAAATTTGTTTGTTAAATCGGGCAAATAATGTTCCAAATTATTTGTGGTTTGAAATTATGTTATAATAGAAATTTTTAATTGATTTTCCATCAATTGAAGTGGTGAAAAATCGACATTACTTTCTTTTAATGGTACGTATATCGTTGTATTGTATCTGTTTTACAAACCTTTACGATAACTCATTAATTACAAACCGTCAGCCACGCTGCACATATTTTTACTTTCTATTTGAAAAATTGGAAAAATTGTAAACAAAAAGATTAAAAGTGTTTAATTATTGTTTATTGATGATGGGATTTTCTTTTATTCGCTAACGGTGTTTTTTGAAAAATTCCAGTGTTTGTATTTTTTATTATTTTATTTCTTCATTGTAATGAATATGATTGTCGCCACGCCTTTGCCGGCCTAATTATTCACTTTTTACGCAGTTCTTCATTTAAAATTGATTATTTTTGAGTAATTGAATAATATTTTTTTTATTTTTACCGCCTATAGAGAATAAAATATGTTGAAGTTTTTTTATTTTAATTTCTAAATAAAAATACCGTAGTGATAAAATTCAAATTTTTGGAGTAAATTTGTTATTCAGCAACTTCGTAATCAAAGATTATTGTGTTTATTTTATTTTTTATTATTAAACCACGATTAAAATATTTATTCAATTTTAATTGATTTAAATTTAATTTAGTTTAATTCAATTGTAAATAAACTTTTAATTTAATATTATTTAATTGGATTTTATTTTGATCGGATTTAAAAGAATAGCGAATCAATTTCAATATTTTGAAAGAAATTGTTTAAAATAAGATCTTTTGAGTTAAATATTCTCCTGTTTCTTTTTTCCAGAAATAATTAAGTTATAAAATGTCAGTTCTAGACGATCGCACTGAATATCTAAAATATAATACTGGACCCAAACTATTTGGTGATTTCACCCCATTTTACGTGACCATCACTATTTGTTCAGTTATTGGAATTTTTCTCATAATTTTGAACGTAACATTTTGCTGGTGTTCACGTCATCGAAGATATTGGCAAGACAGGCACACAGGTAAATGGATAATTTAATTCAAATAAAATAAAAATAGAATAGGAAAATTAAAATAGAAAAAGAAAATAAAAATCGAAACATAAAATAAAAATCGAAAAAGAAAATAGAAATACATAAATAAAAATAAAACAAGAAAGGAAAATAATTGAAATAAAATTAAAATAAATTAAAAATAAAGAAATAAAATTAAAATAAATAAAGTTAAAGTAAATAAAATTGAAATAAAATAAAAATTTTTTTTCTTAAAATTAATAAATAAAAATTCCTAACTGATAAAATTTCGTTCTCAGGTAACCGGTGGATTCAGCCGCTTTGGTCAGTGACGCCACACAATAATCCACCTCTCGATTTAACGGAATTAGAAAAAGGAACTCAAAACTACGTTCATCATCGGCCACAAATTATTGAGGACTATCAAAAAGACGAATTAGACGTAGCAACAACACATCCCGAAGAATATATAGAATTACATAAACGAGAAAGTGAAATCTAAGCCATTCCATATTTTTTACACTGCCATTGTACAAAATCTATACAGATATATCTTTTTTTTATTATCTGCCTAGTTAAGTACAGAGCCAAAAAAAAAAAAAACAGAGGTACGCACAAAACCAAAAAAAAAGTAAAAATGGGATTACATGTCTTTTGGCCGGCGAGTGCTTGCTTGACTCTCTTCGTTGTTGGAGTCATAATGGTATTATTAAAGCATGGACCGAGATTTTGCAAAACGCGAAATGTCGCTTTTCCCTCCGACGAGGAATGGGAAGAAAAGACATATTCACGAAAAATCTCCGTCTCTATGGCTTGAAAATGAAATTAAAAAAAAACTTTTTCAAACTTTTTTATACAGTGGAAATTTTAACTTTTGAAACATGTTTCTATTTTTTATCTTGAGCATTTCGTTTAAGTATTTTTTTAATGAAACACTTTAAACATTTTATTACAGACTTTTAATATTTAACTACAGACTTTTAATAGTCACAGTAAATTTTTTTAATATTTAATTAAATACTTTTACTATTTAATTAAATGCTTTTTAACTTCAAAATAAATTTAAAAAATAATAAAAATATTTTAGTAGAAACTTTATTTAAATATTTTTAAATTTTAATTACTAATATTTTTTAACTTCAAAGTAAATTGAAAGAATAATAAGAATTAATTTTTGTGTGTATAGAAAAGAAAAACAAATACTTAAACGAAATGATTTAATTTAGACTAAATACTTCTAACATTTAATTAAATATTCGTAATATTCAATCAGTTGATAATTAAATACTTTTTAAGTTCAAGATATGTAAATTTTTAAAAAAATTTAAAAAACCAAATTTTTCTGTGTAATAATAGAAAAGAAACAAAAACCTAAACGAAATGTTTCTAAAAGTTAAAAATTCTACATTTATTTCTAAAAAAAAAATATTCTATCAAAAAAAAAATTATTAATTAGTAATGCATGTCACGCTTTTGAAATTATTGCAATTTACATTTTTTAAAAATGTATAACTTAATTTTAGATAGAAGCTTTACAAACACTCCGTCCATTTTTAGAGACTTCTATAAACATATTTTCCAAAAGAAAAAAAAATATTTTTTATGAAATTTAAAAAAAGAACAATTGTTTAAAGCAATTGTTAAACAGATTTTTTACCAATATTATATTCTAGATGTTTATGAACAAATTTTTTTTATCCACTTTTGTGGGAAAATGAATCTCAGCCTTTTTACCAATAAAAGTAATATCGAATAGTTTTGTAAGAAATTAGATTTTTCTAATGTATAACATTTTATACCAGACAAGTTCAAAGACAATTTTTATTGTATTAAGTGGAAAATGTTTTTTAATATGTGATTATAAATTTTTAATAAATTTATATTCGTCTTGAAATGTTTTTTTATTAATTATATAATGCAAAAAAAACCTAATGAAATAAGCAATTTGATATTTCAGGTGTTATTATAATTTTGAATATTAAATAATTAAATTCTTGAATAGAATTTTATTGAAATTATAAAAAAACAATTGTTTTCGAAGAATTTTTTTATTTTTGCAAAAAATAGATTTTTTTTGAAATTTTATTAAATTATTTATTGAATTTCTTCGACGAATTCTATTAGTTAAGAAAATGATTTAAATATTATAAAGAATTTTACCAAATTTTTTGAAACTAATTTAATTATTATGAAAAATATAGCAATTTTTAAAAATAATTGAATTCCCACAAAGGATTTTATTATTTATAAAAATAATTGAATTCCTGCTAAAAATTTTGTTATTTCTGAAAATAATTGAATTAATATAAAGAATTAATATCAAAATTTTTGAAAATGAATGAATTATTTGGAAGTATTTTATTTAAAATATAAAAAAAAATTGAATTTTTGCGATGAATTTTATTACTTATGAAAATAATTGATATTCTGAGAAGAATTTTATTATTGTTGATGAAAATAATTTAATTCTTGCGAAGAATTTTATTAAAATTTCCAAAAATAATAAATAATTATAACTAATTAGTCAATAAGTGAATTTTTCGAAATTCCGAATCTAAAATAATTCAAATATCGATTTTGAGATTTGAAAATAAAAAAATTTCGTAATTAGCATAATAATAAAAATAAATTATTTTATCCTAACATTTGTTGGTTTATAATAATTAATTAATAATAATTAATTTATAATATTTCTTCAAAATGTTATAAATTTTAATATAAAAGAATGTGTAGTATATAATTTTTATTTATTGACAACACCGGGTTTGTGTTACACACGTAGATTACAGTTTTATTTTCATATAATTTTGTAGAATGATAGTATTTGCAAATTTGACGCACTGACGTACTCTTACTTGTATTTATTTTTTTTTCTTTGTTATTCAAATATAATCCACTGGACTAAATATCGAAATGTATATGGGATTCCATAAAATTTCAAAAAGTAATTACATTTTTTTTTTGTCGCAACAGTGTTGTTTCTTTTTCTTTCTTTTTTTTCATTATTTTTATTTTATTTTTCTTCTTCTTCTTTTTTTTCCTTTTATTTTAAATTTGAACTCTTTGCTTTAATAGCAAAACTGCGGCGATGATGCCCTTTTAAAAAAAAACTTAACGAGTAAAAATGCACAACTTAAGAGTGGCAACTACCGAGCTAACGAGCTTAAACTATGTAATAATTACATAAAGTCTCTTAGCGAAAATTTCACTCGATATTTGTGTTCAGAGAAAGAAAGATAAAAATATCGAGAGTCACGAGAGATCACTTTTGACTATCGAGTTTCTTTTCATTTTAAATTAATCAAAATATTTTTCTTTTAATTAATATAGTCAAATTTTTATTTTTTTCTACAAAAAAAAAAAAAGTTTTTTCGTAAATAACTTTTTTTTAATACAATTTCTCTTCTCTTAATTTCCATTTTTGAAATTTTTTTTAATAATTAGTTTATTTTCGCTAAGAATAAGAGTCAAAAATCTATGAGTAGCACTTCTACTGTCGACAAATTCGACGAAAACAATTTTTTTTTATTTCCTTTCATTTTTCTATTTGTAATCGAGCACTAATGCTATGTTACAAATGCATTTTTAACATTTAAAAATTTCCCATTGAAAAAACTCGTGGAGATTAAATTTCTCGCTCCATTTTCAAAATTCAATTTTTTTTCAATTTTCTTTTGAATCACTTTTTTTTGCAATTCAATTTAAAAATTGAAATTTAAATTCAATTTTCTTGAATTTTGAGGATCTTCGATTCATTGATTGAATGTGTAGAAAACTTTAAATTTTTTCCCGAAAGAAAAAGGACTAAAAAAATACACTTTATTAAAATTCATTTTAGTCTTTGATTATTTTATTTTAAAAAATGTTTAAAAATATTTTTAACTATTCTTTAATGTTAAAAGTCGTTTTAAATATTTTTTTTTTCAAAAATGAATTGAAAATCCAGTTTTTCGAAAATTTTTTCTATGGGATTTTTGATAGAACTACGTAGTGATTTAGGATTTGGAAGAGTCTTAGTGAAACATAGGAAGCTATTAATCTATTAATAGATTTCTTTTTTAATGATGATATGGAGAATTTTACTTTTATGTGTCTTCATTAAAAAAAAGAACCTTCTAAATGATTTTGCTAATTCGACTCAGTTCTCAGATATTTATACAAATTTATTTTACCCAAAAAAAAGTGTTCGATTTTAAAATTACTTTTGATTTCCTTTTCTTTTGTATATTTAAAAAAATGAGAGAATTTTCCTTTTTTTGATAATTATATGTATATGTTTATTGTATTTCAATTTGATTTTCGAGATAAGTCTCTAGGTTTTACTATTTATACCGTACATTTCTAACGTTAATCGATTTTTTTTTCATGGAAGATAGTAAAAACGTTCAACATTTGATTTTCCTGCTCAGCGGCGATTGCTCGAAATTTTCGAGAATATTTTTAAAATGTTAAAGAAAAATAAACTATTCGAAAATAATGTTCAAAAAAAAAATCTCACTAGTTTTTTCTATTTTCGTTACTTTTCTATTTTAATGATGACAGTATTCTTTTCTTTTTTTCTTTTGATTAAAAATGACAACAAAATTGATTCCTTTAGTCTATTATTATTAATCTTATTCTATTAAAATGTAATTTTGTAATTTGTAGAAATATAAATTTTGGTGGGGGCGTTTTTTTTCATTCCAGAGGAATTCAGAGCTTTCATAATTGACAGTTCCTCGAGAATAAAAAAAAAAAAAAATTTGGATGAATTTGAGAAACGGAAACACTTTTTTTCAGTCGAATTAATATCTACTCAATTCACCGCATTTTTTTCGTCTTTTTTCCAAAAAAAAATGAGTTAAAAAATTTGGAACGTTAGAAAGTTTTCTAAAAAAAAGAAGACGTCGCCTTTACTAGCTCAGAGGATAGTAAATAGAAAGCTCATAAATCATTAATCAATATATATTTTTAATATATATTTTTTGGCCACAAAAAATGGAAGCGATCCTCAGACTCTTGTGTCTTTTTTTTTATACTGACGACGATCGTTTTAAAAACGACGAGATTAGCAATGATAAATTGAAGAGCTTTGTCCTCGGGGGGGAATTCGAGGTACAAAGTGGGTGCCTTTGAACAGAAGTTCTTTTTTTTGTGTGTGTTTTTGTATGTGAAGATATGAACTTTCTGCGGATGGGCATAATATCTGATTTTCGAGTTTTCTTTCCTCTCTCTGCAGTCGGATGATGAATCAATATTACACTGAGAAAACAGCAGGATCTGATTTCATTGTTCGTTGTGAAAGATGATCGCCGTCAACGGTGAGTGAAACGACGATTCTCTCAAGAAATTTTACTGCTTACCTGATTTTTGTTTGTTCGATCGATCACCTAAAAATAAAAGAAAAAGTTTTATTTTTTGAATAATATATATATAGAAATTAGAACAAAGAAAAATCAAATAATTTAGATTAAAAAATAAAATCATCAAAGTACAATTCATCTAAAGACTCTCATTTTCGTAAAAAAAATGTTAAAAATTAGAACAAAAAAGAAAAAAATTGAAATATATAGAACAAAAAAAAAAAAAATGGAAGAAAATACCTTTTGATTTCTTTGTATTAGTTTCAGGTTTGCACCTCTTCGTGACGCGTCGCGATTTTTCACAGGACGTGTCACTGTTCGCCTTCAGGGTGTCGATTCTTGCCATCCATTGATTCTCGCATGCCATCCACGAGCCTCTTTCATATCGGCAAGCTGATTCCACGCATATAATCAAATCACCATAAATTCCGTTATCATAATTCCTCAATTAAAATTATTAAATATTACAATACCCTTTCTTATTTGGAAAAAAATGTTTGCTTTCAAAAGAAGAAGATTATTTTTTTATTTCAAGTATTATTCTAGATATTATTTTAAATATTATTTTTGGGACTTCTATTTTTTTCATAGAAGGAAAATTAAATAAATAAAAAATATATTAATAATCGTTGCATTCCGGATATAAATTTTATCAAAATCAGTTGAAAATAATTAATTATAATTTAAATTAATTTAAAATAATTTATAATTCCGGCGAAGAATTTTATTATTTTTCAAAATAATTGAATTCCCAGGAAGAATTTTATTATTTTTCAGAATAATTGAATTCTTGTAAAGAATTTTTTTATTTATGAAAATAATTGAATTCTTGTAAAAAATTTTATTAATATTTTTGAAAATAATTGAATTCTTGCAAAAGATTTTAATGAAATTTCGAAGAATAATTGAATTTCTGCTAAGAATTTTACTACATATGAAAATAATCGAATTCTTGTAAAGAATTTTTTATTTATGAAAATAATTGAATTCTTGTGAAGAATTTTATTAATATTTTAAAAAATAATTGAATTTATGTAAAGAATTTTAGTATTTATGAAAATAATTGAATTGTTACAAAGAATTTTATTGAAATTGATCAAAATTTTTGAATTCTCGACAAGAATTTTATTATTTATAAAAGTTTTTGAATTCCTGACAAGGATTTTATAATTTATGAAAATTTTTGAAACATTGACAAGGATTTTATTATTTTTATGAAAATAATTGAATTTCAATAAATAATTTCATTATTTTTGAAAATAACTGAATTCTTGTGAAGAATTTTATTGCAATTTTTCAAAATTTTCAAATTCTTGACAATAATTTTATTATTTATGAAAATAAATGAATTTCTGCGAAGAATTTTATTATTTATCAAAATAATTGAATACTTTTTATTAAAATTTTTAAAAGTAATTGAATTGCTGCGAAAAATATTATTATTTATTAAAATAATCAAATTTCTGGAAAGAATTTTGTTATTTATGAAAATAATTAAATTCTTCCAAAGAATTTTATTACAATTTTTAAAAATTTTTGAATTCTTGACCAGAATTTCATTATTTATGAAAATAATTGAATTTCATCGAAAAATTTAATTATTTTTGAAAATTAGATTCTTGTGAAGAATTTTATTAACATTTTTAGAAATAATTTAATTTCTGCGAAGAATTTTATTATTTAAAAAATAATTGAATTATTTCGATGAATATTATTCAAAATTTATAAAATAATCAAATTTTTTAGAAGAATTTTATTATTTACTAAAATAATTGAATTTTACCGAAGAATATGATTTAAAAATCATATTCTGTCGAGGATTTATATTAAAATTTTATTGAAAATAATTGAAATCTTAAAAAAATTGTATCAAAACGTTAATAGTTTTAAAAATAAATGAATAATAAAATAAATTAAGAGAAAAAAAATTTCGTTAATTAAAGAAGAATTGAGTTAAAAAAATAGCTACCTTTTCTGCATTTCTTCGAAATGGTTTTTGATGGTTCGCATCCTTTGTCTCCCTTTTTCAAAGTGAGGGTTCGAGCGCGTGTATTGGTCTTGGGATCACATTCTGACCATTCACCTTTGGAATATCTGCACGATGTCGAGCTGCCGGATCCTGTAAAAACGGAAGTGCTATCATATGTGTACAATCTTGCTCTTTTACAGCCACCGAGATTGCAAACTTTATTGACAACATCATCTGGGCTCAACAATGTTATAGAAAAAACTCTCGCATAAAGATAACAACGTTTCTTATTCATTTTGCAAAAAAAACCCTCTTCCTTTTTTTCATTATTCTACTCTCATCAAATTTATAAATTTTTTCAAAATTAAATCCATTTTAGAAAAACAATACTTGCTTTTTGATTAAAACCCAAAAAGTTTTTCTAATTATTCAGTGACAAAAAGGTGCAAAATACGGATTTAGGCTTTTCTGTTACAAAATAATTCAAAAAACGTTTTTTTTATTACCAAATAATAAAAAAAAATTTTTTTATTAAAAAATAATAGAAAATAAATAAAATCAAAAATTATGAAACTTTAAATTTAAACCAAAACTATAGAAAATAATAAATTCCTTTCGGAAAAAAAGAATTAAATTTCGAATTTTATCTAATCTTGAATTTTCTTTTAGTTTTAATTTTCAATAAATAAAAATTTAATTTCCAATACAATTTCAATATGGAAAATTAGCCGAGAACTTGATTAATTGCAATGGTTTCATGTAGGTGCAGTATAATAATTAATTATTGACAGAATAGTTTAGCATGGAATAACTTGAGAAATTTTTTTTGCAAATAATTTTGCATTATAATTATTGGAAATTAGAGCCGGTAACAAAGGTTGAAAATTAATAATGAGAGTCGATTTTAATTAATTAAATTAATCCCTACCGCGTTGAGTATTGGTGGCGCGACCTATTCGAACAAGAACTTCCTTATCGTTTTCTTCCCACAGGTCTGCGGTTGCTGTGGTGATCATTATCGACAGAACGAGTCCTACTAAAATCAAACTCCACCACAACTTCATCTTGAATTACCTGCAAAAAAAAGAAAGAAAAAAGAGGAATTAATTTTTTTGACTATCGTAGGCATAATTATTATCATAAATTACATATTCGCTGAAAATTTTTACTAAATATTGAATGATTATATCAGAAACTGAAATATACAAAAATAATTGAATTTCTGCAAATAATTATATTATTTATGAAAATAATTTAATTTTTGAGAAGAATTTGAACAAAATTTTTGAAAATAATTGAATTCTTGAGAAGAGTTTTTCTAAATTTTTTATAAATAATTGCGATTTCTTGGGAAGAATTTTATTAAAATTTTGAAAATAAAAATTGATTTCCTGAGAATAATTTTTTTTATTCACGAAAATTATTGAAATCCTCGGAAGAATTTTATTAAAATTGTTTAAAATAATTGAAATTTGCGAAGAATTTTAATAAAATTTTGAAGAATAATTGAATTTCTGTTAAGAATTTTATTATTCATGAAAATAATTAAATTGGTTCTTAATAAGTGGATTTTTAAAATTTTCATGATTATGAAATTATTCAAAAACTGTGAATTGATATTTGAAAATACAAAATTTTGTAACATGCATAATAATAATAAATTAAATATAGTGTTCGCGCGTAACATTTGCTAATTGATAATAATAATTAATTAAATTTAAAAATATAATATTCACGTTGAGAGGAAAATTAGAATTAAAATGCGACTTTTGAGAAAAAAATACGAGTTTTTCGAAAACAATAATTGGACAAGAGAGTCTTTCATTACAGAGAGATTATAAGACAGGGATTAATCACTGGCCAATTAGTTCGACTTTTTCTGAATTCGAGAATGTCGCTTTTTTCCCCCCCGTTGAAATAATTGGCATTTCAGAGATCTCAATAATAATTAAACCACTCGTTTGGATTTTGACTCGTGAAATTCGATAAATAGTCAAAGGTTTCCGAATCTATTGCGAAATAAAAGAGAATAAAAATTTTTTTTTTTGCTCAAAAGAGAAAATAATTTTTAGCTCGAAATAAAAAGAATAATAATATTTTACTTAGAAAAAGAAGAAAATATTTTACTCATAAAAAGAAGAAAATATTTTACAAGAAAAAGAAGAAAATATTTAACTCGAAAAAGAAGAAAATATTTTACTCGAAAAAATAAAATAATTTTTTGCTCCAAAAAGGAAAAAAATTTTGTTCACAAACAATATTTGTTTAAAAAAGAAAAAATTTTCTACTCTTTTTCATTTCAAAATATTCCGGACTTACGATAAAGTATTATAAAAATTAAATTAAAACGTAAAAGTATAGAAAAATTTTCTTTTTACTTTGCACACTTCATTCATTGGCAAAAGTGAATTACGAGTCTATAGAGGAAGAGATTAATTAATCAAAACTTAAAAACTTGATTTTCCGCCTGTTCTTTATTTTGCCCTACTTTTACTCTTTGTTTCAGAATTGGCTTTCTTCGCAGTTAATAATAATAATACCACTTAGGAATTGAAAATTCCCCATTGGGAATTATTCTAACAGTTCAAGTAGCCTGGCAACTTCAAAGTTGACCCTCTCTCTCTGAGTAAGAAAAGATGAAGAAGAAAAAAATTACAATTCATTACATATTTCCAGCCAGAATCACAAAAGGATCAAGAGAATCAAAAAAAGGAACTTTTCTACAATTTAATCATCTGCGAAAAAAATCTTATATTATGGGTTATTTTTTCTAAATTGATTTTTAAGGAAGGAAAAAATCTTTGAGGAGGAAAAATCTTTAACAAAAAAAAAAATTTTTGACGAAAGAAAAAATATTTAACGAAGAAAAAAAACTTTAACGAAGGAAAAATTCTTTGACAAAGGGAAACAATCGTAAACGAAAACAAAATTAAAAAATTAAGAAAGAATGAATCTTTAACGAAGGAAAATCCTTAACGAAGGAAAAAATCTTTAACGAAAAGAAAATTCTAAAAATTTAGAAAGAAGGAAATTTAATTATTTTTAAAAATGTTAATATAATTCTTCACAAGAATTCAATTATTTGACGAATTAAGGAACTCTTAGCAAACATTCAAATTATTTTGATAAATAATCAAATTCTTTGCAGGAATTCAATTATTTTCAACAATATTAAAAGTTTTCGCAAAAATTAAATTATTTCAACAGTTTTAATAATATTCTTCGCAAGAAATCAATTATTTACAAAAATATTGATAAAATTCTTTATAATAATTCAATTATTTTTAAAATTAATAAACTTTTTTGAAAAAATTCAATTTTTTTCAAAAATATTGATAAAATTCATTATAATAATTCAATTTTTTTTATAAATAATGAAATTCTTTGAAAGAATTCAATTATTTTGATAAATAATAAAATTCTTTGAAAGAATTCAAGTATTTACAAACATATTTATAAAATTCTTTATAATAATTCAATTATTTTCAGAAATAACAAGATTCTTTGTAGGAATTCAATTATATTCACAAGTTTTGCTCAAAATCCTTTATAATGATTCAATTATTTTCAGAAATAACAAAATTTTTTGTAGGAATTCAATTATTTTAAAAATTAATTAAATTTTTTGAAAAAATTCAATTATTTACAAAAATTTTGATAAAATTCTTTATAATATAATTCAATTATTTTCAGAAATAACAAAATTCTTTGTGGAAATTTAATTATTTTTAAAATTAAATTATTTACAAAAATGTTGATAAAGTTTTAAATAATAATTCAATTATTTTGATAAATAATAAAATTCTTTGAAAGAATTCAATTATTTTCAGAAATAACAAGATTCTTTGTAGGAATTTAATTATATTCACAAGTTTTGCTAAAATTCTTTATAATGATTCAATTATTTTCAGAAATAACAAAATTTTTTGTAGGAATTCAATTATTTTAAAAATTAATAAATTTTTTTGAAAAAATTCAATTATTTACAAAAATTTTGATAAAATTCTTTATAATATAATTCAATTATTTTCAGAAATAACAAAATTCTTTGTGGAAATTTAATTATTTTTAAAATTAAATTATTTACAAAAATGTTGATAAAGTTTTAAATAATAATTCAATTATTTTGATAAATAATAAAATTCTTTGAAAGAATTCAATTATTTTCAGAAATAACAAGATTCTTTGTAGGAATTTAATTATATTCACAAGTTTTGCTAAAATTCTTTATAATGATTCAATTATTTTCAGAAATAACAAAATTTTTTGTAGGAATTCAATTATTTTAAAAATTAATAAATTTTTTTGAAAAAATTCAATTTTTTTGATAAATAATGAAATTCTTTGAAAGAATTCAATTATTTAAAAAAATATTGATAAAATTCTTTGTAGTATAATTCAATTATTTTCAGAAATAACAAAATTCTTTGTGGGAATTTAATAAATTTTAAAATTAAATTATTTACAAAAATATTGATAAAGTTCTAAATAATAATTCAATTATTTTGATAAATATTGAAATCCTTTTGACAGAATTCAATTATTTTGATAAATAATAATATTCTTTGAATTAATTCAATTATTTACAAAAATATTGATAAAATTCTTTATAATAATTTAATTCTTTTTAAAATTAATAACATTTTTTGAAAGAATTTAATTATTTACAAAAATATTGATAAAATTCTTTATAATAATTAAATTATTTTGATAAATAATGAAATTCTTTGAAGGAATTCAAATATTTTGATAAATAATAAAATTTTTTGAAAGAATTCAATTATTTTTATTATTAATAAAATTATTTGAAAGAATTAAATTATTTTGATATATAATAAAATTCTTTGAAAGAATTCAATTATTTTGTTAAATAATAAAATTCTATTTTAAATTATATTCTTCGAAGAAATTCAATTATTTTCAAAAATATTTACAATATTATTCTCAAGAATGCAATTATTTTTAGTAATAACAAAATTCTTCTTTGAAATTAAATTTTTTTTATAATTAATAAAATCTATTGCAATATTTCACGTATTTTCATCAATAATAAAATTTTTTGCAGAAATTTAATCATTCTAAAATTTTTTAATAATTTTCTTTCAACGATGGAAAAAATCTTTAACAAAATGAGAATTCTTTAACGAAGGAAAAAATCTTTGACGAAAGAGAAAATCTTTAACGAAAGAAAAAATCTTTAACGAAAAGAAAATTCTTTAATGAAGTAAAAAATCTTGAACGAAAAGAAAATTCGAAAAATTTAGAAAGAATGAAACTTTAACGAAAAGAAAAAATCTTGAACGAAAAAAAAAATTCGAATAATTTAGAGAGAACGTAAAAGCGATGGATCATTATATTCCATTCTCATTTCTTCAATGAAGTGTATACAATATCTATATTTTCCAGAGAGCTTTTTTCATTATTAATCGCATGTTATACTTAAAAATAATTGGAGCGAGATAGAAGATTCACAACCTCCGGGGTCAGCTTCACTATTCCGTTTTGTATGAAAAGACAAATGTTTGTCAGTATTTGTATAAGCATTATCCTTTCGGACAAAGGGGTACCTTGTTGTTTCTTATCATTCAACGATGAAAATAAGAAGAAGAAAAAGAGAGGGTTCTATTTAAAGATGCATAATAATTCCTTTTCAAGAGGAGAATTAGAATTGGACTGATTCTAGACTTGGATCTACAGTTTGGTAAGAAAAACAGCAATAAGTCTAAAAAGAGGAAGACGACAGCGACGATGATGACGACGAAGAAGGAGGAGAAGAAGAAGAAGAAGCTTCACGATTATCCTCTAAAGCCCTTTATTTAAAGCTCTCGAGAGCAAACGAACCTCGGAACGCAACGTAGGTTTCATGGTAATACATCCACCTCAGTCACGATTTTAATTAATAGGGAAGTGCAGAGGCGGTCCAGGATTACGTTGAGAATGTACTTACTAAAACCCTCTATATCCAGGGTCAAGTTACGCTAATTTCAAACATTTGAAAAATATTTCTTCATCATCCACAATGTGGAGTAAGCAAAAATTTCTAAATCTAAAAATTCATTGTCTCCTGTTTGAAA